CTGTTTATTTTAATCTTTTTAATATAAAACTAGTATTTAAAATGAGCCCAACTGAAATTGGAGCTCTGTTATGTGAGATGCTATATATATATAAAGAGAAAGAAACAGTTTCTGTCCCTATGACCTTTCAGTCTGAATCAGTGATTCTCAACCAGGGTGCCTTGGGGAACCCAGAGATTTCAAAGAGGACTCCATAGTGTCAAAAACATGCTGACCTGTTGTGGTCTTCCTGAGGTCTTTGCAACAGGAGAAGTGCTCTATTTATTTTTTCTGTACTCAAAAAACAAATAAAACTAAGAGCTGACATTTTCCAAGGGGTGCCCGAAGTCCTTCTTGGGGTGCCTTGAGTCTAAAAAGTTCTAAATAAATTAAATACACCATTAGAGAGTCATAGATTTCATAGATTCATAGACATTAGAGGCTGGAAGGGACCTCATGAAATCATTGGGTCCAGCCTGCCCACCATAGGTGAGAAGTTAGCTGGGATCAAGAGACCCCAGCAAAAAATAAATCCAGCTGTCTTTTGAAGGAGACCAGAGTCGGTGCTTGTACAACCTCTGGGGAGAGTTTGTTCCAGACCCTGGACACACACTGTAAAGAACATTTTTCTTATATCCAGTCTAAATTGGCCTTCCTGGTGTTTATGGCCATTAGACCTTGTTATCCGTTGGGGAGCTGTGGTGAACAGATGTCCTCCCAGGTCCTGATGTACCCCTCTTATGAAACTGTAGGCTGCCACCAAGTTCCCCCTGAGCCTTCTCTTCTCCAGACTGAAAAGTCCCCCAGCCTCTCCTCATATGGCCTTCTCTCATATGGCCTTGGATCATATGAGCGGTTCTCCTCTGGACTCTCTCAAGCTTCTCCACATCCTTCCTGAAGTGGGGGGCCCAATACTGGATGCAGTACTCCAGCTGTGGTTTCACCAGGGCCAAGTAAAGCGGGAGGATGTCTTCCCTGGTTTTGCTTGAGATACGTTAGTGGATGCACACCAGAGTTTGGTTAGCTTTGCCCGCCACTGCATCACATTGGTGGCTCATATTCATCTTGTGGTCAACCCCCAAGCCCCTTGCAGTCATGATTCTAGTGACCCTACCACTGCTGAGTCTGTGAGTATGCTGAGGGTTCTTCCTACCGAACTGCAGCACCTTGCACTTCTCTACATTGAAGGCCATCTGGTTTTGGTTGGCCCACCTTGAGAGTGTGTCCAAGTCAGCCTGTATTCCCAGCCTGTCCCAGGTGTGATGGCCCTCTCCCATAATTTGGTATCATCTGCAAACTTGGACAGTTCACATCTGACTTCTGAACCTAGATCACTGATGAAAATGTTAAAGAGTACTGGCCCAAGTACCAAGCCCTGAGGGACTCCACTGGTCACCCTGTGCTGTGTTGATTTGCTCCCTTCAACTAGGACTCTTTGGGTCTGCCCCCATAGCCAGTTGCCTAGCCATCAGACCTCATTATGATCTTTGACTGGAGTAGTGATGACAATGATGAATACTTATTACCATTTTACAAATTATGAATAAGGTGCAAAAGGATTAAATACCAGAGCTAAAGAAGACTTAAATCAGAATTCTCCATTAGGCAACTATACATGGGATAAGTACAGACAGCCAAAAAACCCTCAGTCTTCACAGGTTAGTTGAAGCTGTGTAAATTGAACAGATAAGCAAGTGAACAGACATTCACTTTTGATTCTGGAAATGCACCCACCTGCTTGCAGTGGCTCATACCAGAAGCCAGGGGCAACTAGAGCATGCCTCCCTGCTTGGCTGCAGCAGACAGCTGGGGCCAAAGCTAGCCTACCCACCCTGTGAAGGGGGTGTTGTGGGGCAGGTGCAAAGTATCCTGGGAAGCAGGGGGACTGTGAGTTAACTTGAATCTGGAGTGGATCTGGGATAGAAGGTTAGTAAATCAATTTAACCTATATCAGTGATGTCTGATACTGCATCCATCCAGGTTATCTTAAATTGGTTCTGGCCATTTTGAAAGCGGTTAATGTGAGTTGAACTTCTGCTGTGTTGCAGATTTGAAATGGTTTCTGATCACTATACCGGTTTATGTGTAATTTCTGTCCCCAGACATAGGCATTGTATTTCTTAAATATAAGGACCTTGCCCCAGAGGGTAATTCAGTTGGACCAGGTAATGTGCTTAGGAGCCCTATACCATAAGTGCAAAGACTGTGGAGTGTCAAGAAGTAATGCAAGTTTAGACAATTAAGCATGGTACAGAGCAATTGGAGAGCTAGAGGCACCTGTAAAAGGCGACTAAGGGTGCAGACAGAACTGCAGCTCCCAGCTATAATTCAGAACAATTTTTGCAAAGTGTTCTGAGTTAGTTATCCCAGACCAAATAGAAGTTCACTGTTAGTTCTGGAGGGGGGGGGGGGGGCATGGAATCTAGCTGCAGGCTGGGAGCCTGCAACCAGGTTCCCAAAGCAATGGTCAGCGTCTCTGCCATTGCTCGCTGTTTTCAGAATGGGAGAGGGGAAAAGCAGTGGAGGGAACTCATTCTTGGGGTTCCCCAGCTGGTGCTGAAGGGTGGGGTAGATGATTTGGAACCCCCCCATTTGGGGGGGAGAGATCCAACACGCCCACCCTACCCGCCAGGGGGGAGCTGAAAACTCCCAGACTGAACTCCATCTGCTCCCTTTCCCCCCTCCCATTTTGAAAACATCGACTATCTTGGAGCTTCTTAGACACTAGTTACAAAAGATACTACATTTTGAAATGTCTTTATCTGATACCTCATGCAATGAAAGGTCAGATTTTTACCCAACCAGCCATTTTTGAAGCTGTCTGAAGTTGTGCATTTGTGTTTGGTCACAGCTATAAACTGCTTTCTGGGGCAGATCAGGTGAACATTGTCACTTCTGTCTGCACCCTCTGAGAACTCAGAGACCCCCATAGAGGTAGCCAGTAGAAAATACTAAAATACAGAGGTATATCTAAGCTCCAGCTTCAGAAGCTGAAATTCCCTGATTCAAACTATCTATTAGGTATCTCCATTTGTTACCAATTCATAATGCCTCATCTCACTTCTGAGTATAGCCACCTAACTGAAAGAGGAGCAGCTGGTGAGGGGTCCACCTTTTTTATAATAGCTTTCTTAGAGCACTTGCCCAGGTAATAAGAAAGCTGTATCTTCTCCCCATTGTGATGAGATTTGAACCTATATATCCCACTTGAGAGGAGAGCACCTTTAACTATTAAGCTATAGAAAGGCTAGGTGAGGACACTCTCTGTCCTTCCCATGGAAGCCAGGCCCCATTCATTGGACTGGCAGGTAAACATGCGAGAGTATGCCTGCTTCTGTACCCTAGGGGCATACTGGTTCCTGGTATCAGATCAGAGTATGTGTTCAATATTAAAACAATAAAAATAGTCCTGGCAGCAGAGAATGTAACTCAGGTTTACTTCATACCAAGGGAATGCTGGATCTGAAGCCAAATGGGTTTGAAAAGCTTGCAGTAATTCAGAGTTTTCATTTCCAAACGTTTCTAGCACCATTTAACAAGGTGATCCACTAATAATTTTCCTTATCAATTTAACTCAGTAATATTGATACTTCACTTTGAGTTGCTTTTCACCATCTATAATCCATTATCCTACCTGGGCTAGATGGCCACTGAATACTGAGTTATAAGTTTATAGGAGAAAAAGTTAATTGTCCTTAAAAGGAACAATCTTCCTCTCTCTCTCTCCTTTTCCTGGACAAATTGCATATTTTAAAATCTGTTGTGAATCATATACACTGCACTTCCCAGTGCTTAATTGAGACCAACCCTTAAAGCACATAGATAGCTCATATATGGTCTGTATTTCTCATATATGAATCATATAGGGGTCTGAGGACACAGACAGAAATAAATTAATAATATTCTATAAAGAAACAACATTAATCTTAGTTATAACAAAAACCAAAACTGAGTGGAACAAACATTCACCTCTTGAGAGAACAAATGGACTTACAAATTGCAACTAAAATTAAAATGTATCTTATGGATCTTTGTAGCTTGAATATTTACAGTGATATTTATGAAAACGCACTTTTCCATACATATCATAAATGTAAACAGATGTGCTGCATGCAACAGAGTTTTTTCCTGACAGAGACTGAGCAACTCTATCTAGCTTTTATAGAACTACAAAATCACATCAAGAATTAAATAGACTGGGGGCACATCTACACAAGATGTTGACTGTGCAGTAGCCTAATAACTGTGTGCAGTAGTGTGTCACAGTATCGATAGTACTAATACACTACTGCCTAGTATTATTAGGCTACTATGCAGTAGCATCACTTAAAAGACATTCACCAGCACTACTGCACAGTATTTCCAGATACTCTGTATTTATTTAGTACTTGCTAAGACAAGTACTAAATTAATGCACAGTACTCACTGCGCAGTAGCGTCTTGTGTAGACATGCCCTGGATGTTGCAAATGTACTTCCATTATTTTATGTCTGTCACAGAAGATTGAAGTCAATAAGATATTCTTTCTTATGAAGAAGGTTTTTCATCATAGTTATCTCTTCATAGAAAAGGAAACTCAAAATACTTGAAGGGGCTTAAATGTGCATTCTGTTGAATAGCAGAATGTTTTTGCATTGCAAACTCCGTTTCCTGGCAAAGGTAGGATAAATATATAAAGTTAAATATAGCAACTGCAGTATGGATAGAAGGAAAAACGGAGCAAATTTCAGAGTCCCTGGAGAGTTTGCTGTTGTCTGTATGAGCAGCGGTCATATTCAAGCATAATAAACTTGAGTAATTTTTCTTTAAAAGTAAAAATACTGAAAGATGCTGTTTTATTGTTAGTTTATATGCATTCAATTACTTCTTTTTTGAGTGTGAAGTAAACTGTTTCCCCTTGCTAAAGTTGGTTGGGAAAGGGAAATGGTATGAATGAAAAAGCAATGGAAACGTAGTAGTAGTAGTAGTAGTAGGAGTAGTAACAAAATGCCTACTAAATTGGCTCATATTTTTCATTTTAGGAAAAGCCGCTGACCAAATCTCTGCAACGAGGAGAAGATCCCCAGTTTGATCAAGTAAGTAATGTTTTGAATAATGTTTATTTCTTGGGACTGCTGTTTCTTAGAACCCAAATTGACCATTATGTCTTCATAATATTATAATGCTATGTCATTTGGGGAATCAAAGCCCTTCATTTAACTTGAGGTAATAGACCTGAGAATTCTTTATCTACGTATCAGTTTGCCTGAGGAGTTAGGAAGCACTTTGTTTTTTCCAAAATATTCAGAACCTCTTTCTTTAAGCACATTGGATAGCCATATATTATTTCCTCTGAATTATTTTGTACTCTGAGAAACAAATTTTATGTCTTGTGGGAATATACCAGATTGAGAGCTCTGTTTCAATATTAGAACCTGGATATAAGAGTTATTTCCCAGTGGTAGTCCCCAGTTCCTATTTTATCAGGAAAATGAGGACATTGCTCTAAAATTAAACATTTAACAATCCCTAGACATGTCTACATGAGACACTTTATTGCGCAGCAGACTGATTTGCTGCACAGTAAAGCATCACTATCTACATGTGCGTGGCAGTTAGGGCGCGGTAGACTAATTTGCTGTGCTACCAAATAGTCCCAACAGATATAAGTGGTATCCAGCAGTGTAGTAAATTACTGTGCTTACCTTAAATGTACATGTAGACAGTGATGTTGGGATTAGTTTACTCCAGCTCAAATTGATCCTGACTATATTCAATTGCATTAATTACACATGTAGACATGTCCCCAGTCTCTGTAATTAATTATGTTACACTTTTTCATCACTGAGGTTATAATCATAAAAAACTTATGTACATACTTATCATTGTGTATTATGAGTGATCTCATTAACTTTAAAGTTAAGCACGTACACATGTGTTGTCATGATTAGAGCAAAAGCATATCCATCCAATACATTTGAAAAAATAAATATCCATTGGAGAAATTAACCCCACAGGAAAAATTTGAGAATACCAGTAATAATTTTTGTATATCAGATCATATTTTTGCTGCCTATATCAGAAGTAAATGCTGCTGCCAATAATCTGTTTCTTTAATAACAACAACAACAACAAAAAATACATTTTGACACACACAATTATACAATTTGAACTGCACCTCTTCTTTCATAGATATATAAATAGAGTCGGGAACAAAGTGTATAGTTGCCTGAGATTTCCTCTTACAAGACAAACGTTTCAGTTGTTTATAACCTTTCTGGACTTAAAATATCCAGGATGAACATTTCCATGCTGGGAGTTTATCTTGGGCTGAATTATTTTTAATAGGTTTAACACTGAAGCTTCACATTGGTTTGCCCATGTTAAAAAATGTTGCAATCATTTTGAAAAGCTCCAATGTCCTGTGCTTTGAAGTAAAGACTTAGAAATTGGCAGGGCAGTTGGCTTAGCTTAAAGGGTGTGCCTCTGGGCTACACTCATGAAAATCTGTGCAAATTATAATTCACTTCATGATTTAAAAAATTGTCATTCACACATATTTAGTAAAACCTGTTCATGTTCAGAATCTCTGAAGATTTTTATTAGTAGGCATTCTGCAACTAGTAGGTTGTAAAGGTGCTCTGCAAAACTGTATAAATGGGCTTTTAGGTTTTGCATCCATTTGATGTTTCATAGAGAAGTAACGCTGGAAGGGACCTCAAGAAATCATCAATCCAACCAGGAATCAAACTTGCAACCTTGGTGATATTAACCCATGTTCTAACCAATTGACCTAAAGGACTGCATTTTATTATTAAAATGTGTATCTTATGTATCCTGAAATAATTTAGAGTGGTTGGAGCCAAGATTAAGAGGGGAAGGGATTCAAAATAGACTCTTTCAATTTGGTGTTTGTTTATTTTTGTAAATTAACTCCAACATGTAATTTACATTTGGGAGAAAGAAAGTAGTTACTAATGATCCAATATGTCTTCTCCCTCAGTTAAGATATGGAACTCAAAATATATTTCTGGGACTCTCAAGATGTCCAGCAAGATCAAGGAAGGCCAGGCATGATACTCAGTGAGCATATCTATACAGGGCACTTTACTGCGCAGTAAACTAATCTACTGCATAGGAAAGCATCATCATCTATATATGCACAGCATTTACTACGGAGTAAATTAGACTACTGTGAAGTTGGCAGTAGATACAGGTAGTAGATTAACTGCACAGTAGTGCACATGTGGACAGCTGACCAGGAGCAAATTTGCTCCTGACAGGCACACATGTAGACTTGCTTTTGGGGAAAGCTTCCTACACCTTATTTTAGTGTGCAATAAACTTACAGTGCATTAATAGCGCATGTAGATGCACCCAATATAAGCAAAATGCAAAATTACAAACAGGAAAAATCTAAATAAAAAGCCTTCTTGCCAAAGATCTCCAAAAGTGGATAATAATTCAGAATGCCTGAACTACTGGGTGCCAAGCATGAAACATTTCAAACAGACCTGATTTTCAGATAGTGGGAACTTCACTCTTTCTCAAAATCAATCAGTCTCTCTGAGGTTGGGTATCCAGAACTGGGGCAGCCAGAATAACCTATCACTTGAAAAAACATTCTTGGCCTGGTTGCTTCTATAGATACTGTGAAGAAGCAAAAAAGAGCATGCCTAAAGAATCCTTCACCAGTAACCTTTAAAAGACAGCCCACAAAAGTGTTATAATTGTCAGAATATGCGTATAGGACCCAAGACAATTCATAGTGATTTGAAACATGGAAAACCCTTGTTCAGGTCACCCAAACGTCCTTAACTCTACTTCAGTACAGCTTTATGAGAAAATTCAGGGGCCATGTCTACACAAGACACTACTGTGCAGTCATTACTGCACATTTACTTAGCACTTGTATAAACAAGCACCAAATGAATGCACAGTAACCTAAGTTACTGTGCACTAGCGCTGATGAACACCTTTTTTGTGATGCTACTGTGCCATAGCCTAATACTACTGTGCACTAGCGTCATGTCGCAGTTTTTGCAACACAATGCTACTATGCAGTAGTATCGGGCTATTGAGCAGTCAGCGTTTCATGTATATGTGGCCACATAGTCTTAACTAATCTTTGTGGTCCTGACAAACAGGTGCCTCTCATCAGTGGCCACAAGAACTAAGTTGCCTATACAGCCTGCATTTTCAGTTTATTTATGTAAAGTTAAAAAGATATATTTTTGAAGTTTCTGAGGAGGCAACTGTAGTAATGTAGCTATTGAAGAGCATCATTCCTCACTCTTCATGAAGATGCTGTGTGCCACCCACTATGTTAGTATTATTAAACAGGAGACTAGTGCAACTATTTTTTAAACTTCCTATTACAAGAAATCAGGAAGTTTCCATACTTAGAATGCACAAACTGAGCAAAAGTTAGAGCAAAAAACTACAGTTACCAAAGAGGATTTTTCTCTCCCAGGGGAACTTCATTCTGCGCTTAGCCCTTATCATGGTACCCTCTGTTTGTTCCATTGTTTAAACACGCTCTCTGATTTGACAGTGTAAGGACTAGAAAGCAAACGTTTGTTTTCTTGAGTGCTCTGACTAACCTGTGCAAGTTGTTTCACTTGCTGCTGCTGGCTAGTGCTTTGACCAGTTTGAGGTGCAGTCTCCCAGAAACCCCTGCACCTATCTCCCTGAAACTTGGCAGGCTACCATCCCTGCAATTTGCATCTGAATCAGGCAAGAAATGGCAAAGTTATAGGCATTTTCATGATTTCCCATTATACCCTATGGGCGAAATGTCAAAACACATCGAAACAGCAAAACAGTTTCAACAAAACGAAATGAAACAGTGCTTCAAAACAGCAAAACGAAACACTGTCCCTTCAAACAGTGAAATGGAACTCAAAATAGTTTCATAGTTTCTAGGGTTGGAAGGGACCTGAACATATCAAGTCTGACCCCCTGCCCTGGGCAGGAACGAGTGCTGGGATCATAATTCCCCAGCCAGATATCTGTCCAACCTCCTCTTGAAAATCCCCAAGGTAGGGGAGAGCACCACCTCCCTTGGGAGCCCATTCCAGAGCCTGGCAGCCCTAACTGTAAAGTAATGCCTCCTGATATCAAGCCTGAATTTACTCTCAATCAATCTGTGGCCGTTATTCCTTGTTATCCCAAGTGGTGCCCAGGGAAACAGAGCCTCTCCTATTTTCCGCTGGTCACCTGTTTTCCACTGGAAATGAAACAGTGCTCTTTTGTACAGCCCTACACAATAAAGGAAGTCTGAGAAGTTAATGCTTATAGAGCCAGAGCAGTGGCTGGGGGCACCTAATCATAGATGTGCATATAAAGCTGTGGAAAAAGTAGCTGTTGAGATGGAAGTCAAGGGTGACAGGTTCAAAACTGAACTTACAATACGTGAAAAAAATGTTCCTTTGTTTAGAATGTCTTCCTGGAACTAAAGGAGCTATCAGCACTCCAGAAGTAGTGACAGTATAGTTCCCTAGCAACAAAACTCAGGATGCCTACTTGTGTCTGATTGCACAACTGTGGCCACAATCTGAACCTAGTAACTCTGATTTTAATTTAAATATATATTTCCACTTTTCAAATTAATAGAATTTTCTTGTGAAAATATTGTTTAAAACTGAATAAAATGAAAAAAATACGAGTTCCATGCAATTGTAAAGCTACTGTTTGCTTCTAATATTACATCTTTCTCCTTTTTACGTGAAGGGATTGGATTAATTTCTTTTTTTTTAAATGGCCTTTACAGAAACAGGATGATGCGTCTCAAAGGCATAACCAGCAATCATAGTTTTTAATTGCTGTGATAAATTAAAAGAACATAATGTAGGCCTATTACCTTCACTTCCAATCTATAGCACTGAAAAAAGAAATGTAGTTAGGTTTCTCTTGCTTCTGTTGAACCCTATGGGAGTACTGCCTTTAAAATGTAAGGGGGGGAGAATTTACAGTTACATTATTACTACAGACATTTATTTTCTCTAAACCCAGCCCAGTTTTCATGATTTATAATAGATAAAATACAAGAGCCATTAAAGGAAAAACATTCTTATATAGCTACAAGTATCCTACA